TAGAAACAGTTTTAAAAGTTAAAAAATTAAAAATAAAAACAATTTTCTTCAGCTTCAACTTGAATTCTCATATGAGTAATTGATGGTATGTTCTGCAGTCGACCCCAGCCTTGTTCTGACTGATGATAATGAGCTTCTCTATCATCACTTTCCACAGATGTAATCGAGTTGGTTCCTGTGTGCTCCTTCTGGTGGGGTCCACATGTATAACTACTGTTTATGTTGTTGAAAAAGATATTTTCAGTGAATAAGTTATGAGTCTTGCAAAATTCTATCATGCAATCTCTGACATCATTTCTATCACCAAGCCATATTTTACAACTGCTGATCTTTCTTTTTCATTTCCAACTTTTGGATTCCAGTCACCAGTAATTATCACTACACCTTGATTGCATGTTTGATCAATCTAGACTGCAGAAGTTGATAATAGTCTTTAATTTCTTCACATTAGGCATTAGTGGTTGGTGCATAAATTTGAATAATGGTTGTATAAACTGCTCTTCCTTATAGATGTACATGTATTATCCTATCACTGACAGTGTTGCACTTCTGGCTATATCTTGAAATGTTCTTTTTGATGATGAATGTGAAACCATTCCTCTTCAATTTGTCATTCCTGGTATAGTAGGCCATATGGATGTCCAATTCATAGTGGCCAATACACATCCATTTCAGCTCACTAATGGCAAGAATATCAACCTTTATGCATTTTATTTCATTTTTCCAACTTCCAGTTTTCCTAGATTCATACTTTGTACATTCCATATTCTGATTATTACTGGATGTTTGTTGTTTCTTCTTATTTTGAGTCATGCCACATCAGCAAATGAAGGTCCAGAAAGTTTATTTCATCCCCATTATTAAGATTAACTCTACTTTGAGGAGACAGCTCTTCCCTAGTCATATTTTGAATGCCTTCCAATCTGAAGGGCTCATATTCTGCCACTATATCAGACAATATTCCACTGCTATAAGGTTTTCAGTGGTAAATATTTTCAGAAGTAGACTGCTACATCCTTCCATCCTTCTTCCTAGTCTACCTTCATTTGGAAATTGTGCTGAATTCACACTGTTGGTATTTGAAACGTTCCTGGCATACTTTCCAGTATCACAGCAACACACAAGCCACCACAGTACAACAATTCCAGGAACTGACAGAAAACCAATTGAAACATTTCATTAAATGGATGCAGTGCTCCATTCAATGCAGGTGCTCACTCATCTATGTCGAGAAATTTGGAAGACAGCTACCTGGCCA